AATTTCCACTGAAACAGTCAATGTGATACAGCATTGTGTTATTGTGTATATCAAGCTGTTCCACCTGCAATATCTTTAGCAACCCGGCAAACTAACTAACTAAAACCGGTAAACTAATTCTGGCCGTTAATTACAGAGTAACTGATAATACTTCCATCTAGACGTACTATAAGAGCCCTTACTAACTTGTCTAGTTAATAAATCTTTTATCAGAATTTGGTGCTTGATTGGTCTTATCACTGTTGCTTCCTGCAGTCACACAATGCGTGTATTTCCATTTCAACAGAGATGGTAAAAGGTAATTCATTTCACATTAAACAAATAAGAATATTCAAGCAAAATAACAAGAAAGTATTTTTGAACCTCACCTTTCTCTGCTGAGAGCTTACTAACATCCATTGTTTTGTTGAGGACTTTGACAGCCAAAGCCAGAGCAGAGGACAGAGTCATCTCTCCCTCTTTGTAGTCCTGCTTCAACATGGACACTGCAGCCTGAGGCAGAGAAGTCAACACATTGAACCTTGTTATATGGATCCATTTATTGCTTCGACATCTAAATTATTGCTGGAAATTGCACTGGAATCAGAGACTATTAAATATTCCTACTGACATTTAGAAAACATGTTATCAGACTATCTGTGCTGGCTACAGTTTTGCACCATCTACAGAGAAATTTTGATCAAAAACATTCAAGCCAAAAGAACATCAGACAAACCAAAGCAAAAGAAAATTTTATATATGTGATTCATACTCATATAATCACTTCTATATGACACTGCCTGTTGAGATAACAACTCAATAATGTTCATTATATTTGTCATTTCAGACTTACAGCACTGTTGTTGCCAATACAGGTTGCCTTCCAGCCTCCATAGTTGCCACTGGGGTCACTCTGGTACAATTGGAAGCCATAGTGTTTGTCCCAGCCCATGTACAGCAGGGAAACACCAAACGGCCTCTTGCCTGCCAAGAAAAGAATCCACACAGCCGTTACTGAAATCCATCAGTTTTTTTTACACAAATACTCTTGTCAATATTATTCTAGCTTGTTTACCAATATGACATTTGATTAAGTCTTATACAAGTGCTTTGGGCAGACGTATAAATGCACATTGTAAATGTAAAGACCGGCAATATGTTGATCCCAAAAGATCACCCGCTGGATACAAGCAATAAACTAGACAAGGAGACTACTGTGGATCTTACCTCCGAACTGTGTGTACGCCTGCTTGATGTCACACAGGGCTGTCACCAACTGCTCGCAGGGTATTGGCTCCTGGTACTGCAATAAATACCTGAAGAGAAATTAAACTGGTCAGTGGTTGGTGGTGAATGTGATAAACACAAACATTTAGGGAGGTTATCAAATATTTGCAAATCAGATTAGATCAAAGTTGGACATAATTTCATTAGTGAGACACTAAAACTCACCTCTGTGCAATCAGCCGCAGCTCATTTGTCAGGACATTGGCATCTGATGTGATCCCAGCAACACTGCAGGCCAAGTCTCTGGAAGAGATGATCACACACACAACCTCAGTGCAATGGCAGCCTGAAAAAATTATGTCTAAGGAGTTTATGGTAAGAATGGCCCAAGTGTAGGGTGCTTCTGTAGTTCAGTTCACTCACTCATTGAGCTTGTAGATCTTCTCAGAGAAGAAAACCTCATCAAGCAGTTTGTGGATGTTGCGTCTCTCTGCTGCTAACAGCACTCCATCGTTTGCTAGAATCCCCAGACATGTTCCAGCATGGCCGATCGCTTCCATTGCATACTCCACCTGATACAGGCGTCCTGTAAAATACAGTCACAAAGGTGAAATTGATCTCATAAGTTGGCTAGAAACAACTAAAACCTTAAAGGTGTGTGTATATAAATCATAGTAAATCAAGTTTTTTTCCAGAGCTTTAATCTGCATGTCATGGATTTTATCTGTGAACTTTCGCAGTTGTCATTCACTGATAAGGGCCGTGAGATGCAACTTAAAACTTGTAAGGGGACCTTGAGTTAAGATTATTTTGTCAAACTACAGTTACGGAGGTAAGGAACTTTTCAAGAGAACTTAATCTCTTTTAACATCTGGTGGGTCCATCATTACAAACCCACAAAATCTTGGAAAAACACTGTTCAACACACTTTACATTTATGTCAACAGTTTGGTATCTTTGACAATAAAGTTGGCAAATAGCAAAATATATATCAACAAGACAATATATGGGTTACATCATATGGTGTGTAGCCATAATAACTGGCATCTTGGGTTTGATTATTTCACTCAATATGACTTTGATAATCAAATGGTTAAAAACAATTAGACTTGCCCTCAGGAGAAAATATGGTTGTTCGGGAATCATATCTGCGAGACTAAACAACAAGAAAAACAGGTACAATTATTAAGGTAAGCTGACAAAAACAGGCAGAAGCATATTTTGAACATACATGTGAGATTTATGTGACGAGCAGTAAAAGTTACCTACCATGTTTTAACGACGCTGAAACTGTCCTGTAAAAAACGACAGCAGTTATAAGATGATGGGGCAACCAGCAAAAACCAAAGTGGGAAGAACATTTCAGCCTGTTTGTATTAATACATATGTTTTAATTTGCAACAGTTACATAAATATCTCCTTCCCTACAACTTGACAAATAAACTGTTAAGCACGCCTCTGATAAACTTATAAAGAACAGTATGCGTCGTTTACAATCCACTTTTATCGATAGCTAGCGAGCTGCCTGCCTTAGCTAGCTGCTGCTGAACAGAATGAATCTGCAATATCTGAGCATGCTACATCGTTAGCATGCTCAGCTAACTAGTACATAATAAAGAAAGTAATATGACCGGACACAGTCAAACTGTACTTTAACGTTGTGGTGGAATAAAACTACACTGTAGGAAATATTAAAACATAAAAATATTACCTTAGTTGAAAGGGTCTAAGTTTGCGTAGTTTCCCACAGGCTGAGAGGTTCACTACTTTCAGTTTGATGTTTCCTCCTCTCTCACACCGGGATCCTGTGGCTGTGAAGTAGCCGCTCAGCAGCGCCACCTGCCGGCGGGAGGACCGATCAATTCTCACGTCCACTTCCATGGAACTGGAAGAAATTGGCTTTACAAATACACTTTAATAGAAAAGATGGAGTAAAAGTAAATAAGGAGTAAAATATACTTACGAAAAGAACTATGCTACCTCAGAGTATTCAATTATTAAAATAAGATAAGCCAACGGCGTAAGTGGTAACGATGGGCCCCAAGTGCGGGCTGTTATGGTGGGCCCTTGGGCTCCACAGCTAATAGAAATAGAAGACAAGAAACATAAACTACACAAGAGCAATTAAACTAAAAATGTTACTGTCTCCTGTGGTATGATTGGTATAGTACATGTAAGCGTAATATGATACCATCAGTGTACACCAGAATATATACAGTATAATAATGTATGAAATGATACTTAGTGTCTGTATTAATATAGAAATATGATGTATAATACATAATGTAACAAAATATTATAACATATTAACATAATATAGTACAATACAGTACATTATAATATAATATGTAATATAAAGTGAAAAGTAGTAACACACTATATATTTAGTTTTACTTACTACTTTACTTAGTCATTACTATCTTCTTATCATTTGTATTACTATCCAATTTCTCAGAATTAATCTCTGTGGTGTCAGAATACCTCATATTGTTAGCTATAAGGTATAATTACTGTATAATATAAATATTTTCATAACTGATGTTACATGGATTTGTTGTATAATTGTTCTCAACGCTCTTCTGTGCAGTTCCAACAAAGTACCTTGACATACCAATCCAAAATATCAGTGTACAATGTACAACATTTAAGTTTAACTCACTTTCTAGTTAAATATTTTAGTTAATTAATAACAAAATAAGGAAAAACGTAAATAATTTTGGTATTGTTATTAATTTTCTAGCTACTGCTTCATTTTGTTTGTTTAGTGATTGATGTGTGTACTCTTTTTTTTAAATAAACTGGCACACTATGTTGGCCGTTAGTCATCATTTTTAGACCAAAACATGAATGAAGATACAAGAAATCAGTCGCAGACATTCAGCTCTAAAAATTTCAAGAACATACTGAAATTGAACATGTATTCACTTACTTTCCGTCTCTAAAAGGGAGTGAATCTAGAATTTGATAAACGTTATATATGCCGTGGTGGAATGTAACTACGTGCATTTACTCAAGTAGCGTACAAATTGGAGGTACTTGTTCTTTACCTGAGTATTTCCATTTTATGCAGCTTTATACTTCTACTTCACTTCATCTGAGAGGCAAATATTGTACTTTTTACTCTACTAAATTTTGTACTGACAGCTTTAGTTACTAGTTACTTTTCATTTTATATCATTTTAATTTCACCTCTACATTTGATGATTTTGAATTAAACATTTTTTTAAGGATTAAGTTTTCCTTTATGGGTTGAGAAAAGTATCCTACTTCTTAAGCTAAATAAACAATTTAAACCTCCCCTAGCTGGATTTGTCACAAAGCTGAAAACAGGGGTATTTTTCTGAGCTCATAAAAAGTTGACTTTTTAGAGATACAGAAAGCTGGATACGTATTAATCAAACTTTGCCATGGGGTTTCAGGTCCAAACTAAATTCTTGTAAAAAAAAAAAGAAAAAAAGAATTGTCACATACATCCTCCTAGTTACGTAAAGAAAATGTTGAAAAAATCTAATTTACAGATGTGTACAAGTGCAGCTAAAAAAAAAAATGTAATGATTTCTTTCTAATTTTTAAATGCACCTGTAAAGGATCTGAATACTTTCCCACCACTCGTTTAAATGGTGTGTTTAGTACATAGCTTGTATATAAAAAGGTTTAGTCCTAGTCCAGTCGGACGTGTTTTCCTCCAGCCCTGGTGGTCGGCAGTGTTGGTTGAGACAACTGAATGCTCACCAGGTGTAAAATAAAAGAAGAAGAAGCTCTGCTGCGTGCTATTGGTTGTTTCAGCAGCGTGACGTCGAGTGGTTTGAATGGGAACGGGAAGTCATCGCACAGTTAGCTAGTTGAGTAGCCAGGAAGAAACTTACCCACGTCGTTATAAAACATTTAGGCAGCTGAGTGACGATACTCCGAATTGCATTTTATTTATTTATTTACCGGCTGATGACATGATGTTTTAAATCTGACCGACATTACGGCCATGGCGTTGTAATAAGCATCTGTCCGAAGAGGTAAGTTCTTGCTAATTACACCAATGCTAGCGCTAACTCAGGGCTAGCTCAGTGTTAGCTAGCACAAGCCACAACAACATCCCGCAGATGACGACAGACCCATTTTATTAAACCCCTGGTGTTTGGCTTACTTTGTTGTGTTTCTTAAGTGTTATTAGTTAACACACGACAGCTCCCGTAGCTTTCAGGTGGCTTCACTCCGGCTCCAGAACAAGCTGTCCTCTGACCGGTGTTGCCAGAGTTGCGAAGAACAATAACCTGGTGTAAGTTAGCTAATGGCGGTTAGCTAACGTTACTGTGCGACCAGGAAATCGATTTTATAAGTACACGGTCATAATACCGACATTATTCGCTGCTTTTTTGTCTGTGCCGAAGCTGCTTCTGGATCTTTAGATCAACGTAGTTAGGGTTAGCTTGCTAAGTTGTCTTGCATGACCTTCGACCTTCTCACTCAGAGATAACTGGAGATAAATGTTACTGATGATTGATGAGAAGTGATAGCTTAGCTTGGTTTAACGTTACAGTTTACCACATAATCCGATTAGTCATGGAAGGATTCATATAATTTCGGAGGTAATAATAGAAGAACAACCTAGTTGAGTTGTTCTATTTTGCAGCAGGCCCAGAGCAGAGGGGTTGATTGGTACACAATAGGGTCGAGTGAGACTATATATATTTGTCATCTGTCTGAGACTTTTTTTTATGTTTTGATACTGTTGAAAATATCATTTTAATATCTATTTATTAGGCCATTGTGAGTAATGTTGCAAATGACTATTGGATTTGTTATAGTATCTTTACATTGATATAGTGAAGCCATGAGCCAACATGTAAAGTATCCAGTATGCTGGATCAGCCAAAAACCTGTGAGAGATGATTTTATCCATATTGTCCACTCCTAGTAGGGCATTCAGAAGTTATACTGTAATGGTTACAAGCACCAATAGTATTTAGGTTCTTCCAGTAGTATTTAGGTCAATTTAACAAGACTCAACAAGGATACTCGGGCTCTTTCTGCGTCTGATGTCGATTACCAAAAATAAATACATCTTCACTCAAGGTCCAAGTCTAGTTTCAGGTTTAACTGAGATGTCAAACTACTATTTGTATGTACACTGGACAAACTATAAACACAACACTTTTGTTTTTGCCCCCATTCATCATGAGCTGAACTCAAAGATCTAAGACTAAGACACCCGTGAGGTGGATGTATTATCTCGGCAAAGGAGAAGTGCTCACTTACACAGATTTGTGAACAGTATTTGAGAGAAACAGGCCTTTTTGTGTACACAGAGAAAGTCTGAGATCTATGAGTTCAGCACATGATGAATGAGGGCAAAAACAAAAGTGTTGTGTTTATAATTTTGTTCAGTGTAGTATGTATGTTAAACTACAATTTCCAAGGTCAACGATGAACCGTTCTGTTGTTTATGCTGTCAGGCAGGAATCAGTCTGATGAGGGGGCACCTACAGCTGGCAGGATGCAGCAGAAAAGGAACATCCAGATCATCGAGTGGGAGGACCTCGACAAAAGGAAGTTCTACTCTTTTGGGGTGTTCATGACGATGACCATCCGGGCCACCGTCTACCCGGCCACACTCATCCGCACTCTGCTGCAGGTGCAGAGGGGCAAATCACTCTACAGCGGCACCTTTGATGCCTTCTTCAAGATTCTGCGGGCGGAGGGCATTCAAGGCCTGTATCGTGGCTTTATGGTCAACACCTTCACGCTCATCTCAGGCCAGGCTTACATAACCACCTACGAGCTGGTGAGGAAGTACGTCTCCCAGTATTCTGATGACAATACAGTCAAGTCACTGGTGGCGGGCGGATCGGCCTCCCTGGTTGCTCAGAGCATCACTGTTCCTATAGATGTTGTTTCTCAGCAGCTGATGATGCAGGGCCAAGGGGGGCACCTCACCCGCTTTCGGCTCAATTTCAACACAGAGACTGAAAAGTCCAAAAAAGTGTTCGGCCAAACCAGGAACATTATGGCTCAGATTTTTGCTGCTGATGGTTTCCGGGGCTTCTACAGGGGATACGTGGCTTCTTTACTCACTTATATCCCGAACAGTGCTGTCTGGTGGCCTTTCTATCATTTTTATGCAGGTAAGTGGCTGGAACTTTCTTAACTATAAAGCACTGCACTTAAGACTTTGTGTTTTGACTGATCTGTGTCTATGTTCCCAGTGCATTTGTACATCTGTAGTGAGACTGAATTCCACCAGTCCTTGCCGTGTGGTTAATACGGTATCTGTATGTGTAATGTTTTACAGAGCAACTCTCTAAAATGGCTCCCAGTGACTGCCCTCACCTGATTCTACAAGCCATGGCTGGACCTCTAGCTGCTGCTACTGCCTCAACTGTCACCAACCCAATGGATGTTGTCAGAGCCAGAGTACAGGTAACCACCATTTACTGTGCATCTAACAAAATATACAGCAGAGCCCAGGGCTAAACTGTGGTACTGGTTTTTGGTTTGAAATAATAACACAACATGTACTGTATGTGTGTTTTGTTAAGGTTGAAGGGAGGACTTCAGTCATTGAGACGTTCAGGCAGCTGATCAAAGAGGAGGGATTTTGGGGATTGACCAAAGGACTGTCGGCACGCATCATTTCATCCGCACCCACTGCCATCGTCATGGTGGTCGGCTATGAGACGCTAAAAAAACTGAGTTTGCGACCAGAGCTGGTGGACTCCAGACACTGGTAGAAGATAATTGGACAGATGAAGTATGGACCATGTACCATTTTAACCCTCAGATTAGACTTTCTGTGAAGGCACTGGATGAATGCAAGGTTTGTTTTAAACAACAACCTGGGGAATATAATGGAATGAGGCCAATTTAAATACACAACAGCTGTGTATCAGACATTGAACTTATGTGTTCATACCAACATATTTCTTGCAGATTAAGTATCTGGCCATTAACATTCACACTAGAGCCAGGTTCACAGTCTGTTTGCTGCTTAACAGGGTTTTGTTTTTAGTGCAATTGAATGTGGTGGTGTTTTAATACTGGAAGATGCAGACACATTGATGCAACCTTATAGGATTATTTTTTTTATTATTTGGTCAACAAAGGAAATGTTAATGTATCAACACAGCTGTACAATCATGTTCAGGCATCCTTTCAGTGGAGAAAGGGGAATTGATTGTTGACACATAAAAACCTGGTTTTCATTTATAACTCATAGTGATGCATTCACAGCAGCAGTAAACAATTCTTTCCCAAGTGTTCTTTTCTTTGCGCTCACCAAACTGGCTTCTATGTCAGTTTCTGCAGTTCCTTTACGCCTTTTTAAGTTGCTGCCGTCATAGTGTGACAGTCTGCTTTCTGTTTTTAATTGCTTAATGTGCGTGAGAAGCCTCTGTGTTGTAGGTGCATTTCATGTAGTCCGCTGCACAAACATGGTCAAAACACAAATTCCATGCAAAACGGAATACATAGAGTACAATATATTTGTCAACATTTTTGTAACATGCTAGTATGTCCGGCATCATAGAAAATATTGCCGTGATCAAGCTGGTTAATAACTGGCAGATTTTGTGTACTGGTGGTAACTACTAGAAGGCATTTTCTATAGATTTCCATTGTGCTGAGCTGCCAGTTGAAACCTGTGAAGCAAGAAGCAGAAATAATGCTGTTTCCCTATTGTGACAGTAAATGTGCAATAATGTAAATGTTTTATCCTTTTTAGCACAAGATGTGATTGTTTATTACTTATACGTTGTGTGAAAAACATGTCTTTAAAGGAATTATACCTAATTTATTTTCTTGAATGATTTGTGATTATGACCACAAAAGTGTCCAAAGTTGTTTTTTCTGTTTAAGATGAAGATTGTGGCTCATTCAGTTTGTTGCTTTTGTAACTTTTTTCCCCACATGGCTTTTTAGTAAAGATGATTCATGACAAAAGTATAAGATCAGATGTGGTCAGTTTGTTGAACTGATCATATAGTATATAGATATGATGTGATATATAGAATGGTAATTGGCTGTTTTAGTTTGACCGAAGGCATATTCCTAAATCTGAGAATTTATTAAAATGAAGCCATATGGTCCCACAGTGCCAAGACAAGTTGTAAACATATAATGGATACCTAATGAACTCTGGTATACCTTGTAGATGTTCATGCGGTGACGCGCTTCTTCTTTTCAAAGCATGTTTTACTGAATTCCGCTCACCTTGTGGGAGAGAAGGGAAACGATGCAGGCTTCTGTAATAAGATTGACTACAGTCTGGAATTTAATCATACATTTTTAATTTCTTTGCACAACTTTCAGTAACTCTAAAAGTATGATTATGTTGTCGGTGAAAATCAGAACTCAACTGTCATGTACAGAATACACTTCACATCTCGTGTTGTCTCAGTGTGTCTTGTTTCATCTGTTTGGTCAATAAAACTTCACAGCTGCTTAACATCAGTTTGTGTTTTACTGTGTTACAAGCGGAATAAAACCTATGCTGCTTTCTTCAATTTCATTTTTTTTTTTTTTATAGTTTGTTTTTAAACTTTAAATAATTGTGTGATTAGCAGTTGTCCTGTCAAGTCTAACCAATCTGTAGTCATTTCAGAATTTTAAATCACTTCAACCTGGAGTTTGAAATGAGAATTTTGCAGAAAATGTTAACAAGTGTTTATTAAAGGATCCTGACTAATACATTTTTGAAACCAATAATAATATCAATATTTCAGTATTACTTTTTTTTTTTATTGTATTTGTTTTTTAACATGAACAGGAATAATTGTTCATTAACAGCCAATTTCCATTATATGTTGATATCTTATATGTCTGTGATAAGCTAGTATCTCTGATTTATTGTAAATCAAGTGTGCTGTGAACACCTGACTGGAAGGTGTTGAATGTGTTTTTGTCTGTTTTTAATCTCAAACTGCCCAAACACTGACATGAATAAAATTAAGGTCAGGCTTTAGCAGAGTCCTTAATAAAACAGAACTGCATGGAATCACTGCACACATGGTCACATTCGACTATGTGACTCAGGGTAAATCCTTGGTTAGACAATAAATGAATAAATGTTAGACCAAATTAAAAAGCTATCAGCGGGATAATGTGTCTTTCAGGTATCTGCAGTGTTCAGCAGCATGTATGTAGGAAAAGGTTTTGTGTGAACTCATTAACGAACACATTAACAAAAAACTACATGCCAATGTTCCTGATGTCCTCAGGGAGTTCATTGTGCAGTTAAAAAGGTCTGTGAGGAGAAAATGTGTCAATGCATCTTATTGAAGGTGACACTCTGACACCAAAGGTCATATCTCATTATGTTAGTTAGATAATGAGATAAAAGAAAAATCAGCTTGGTTTAAATCCAGTGTTTTTCGTGATGCCTGATTTGACCATAAGGAAAAAAAACCCTGCAACATTCAGCATGATTCTTGAAATAAAAATTTAACTTGCATTGCAATATTGAGGATACTGGTGCTTTTCGTGATATTAGAAAAGTATTTTCTCACCAGTGTTTGTCATAAAAATGACTCAAATCTAACAAAATAGATACTTTTGTGGTATTTATTTAATTGTGATGTACTTCTGTAGTGACTAAAACTTGAAAAACATTATATTTAACGTTCAAGATTTACCTTACTGGAGAAATATATGCATAATACTGAAAAATGCTGCTGTTTTAAAGTAAAAAAACCAAACATTTAAAGTCAGATTAAACCTTTCAATCCTATAAAAGCAGCAGAAGTAACTGACATAAATGTTAAAAGCCCCATTTTTCATAAACAGGGCAATAGATGGCAGTAGATAATCTTCTCACATACCATTTTTTCCTCTCCATTCTCACAAATTCTCAAACTTTGCCTCTGTGCTACACTCAAATGTTCACTTTCCCCCTTGGAAATAAAACCACCCAGAGACCAACACATAGATCTACTGATGAATGAAACAAACAAGGAGGCCTGGTGAAGACGATGGAGGGCTGACACTTCATGGTGGGATGATGGAGAGCTCCCTGTTCTGCTCTATACATTAATTATCAAGCTGTGTCGGGAAGGCACTTTGTCAAAAAGATAGATGAGGGGCTGCCAGAGAGGGAACAAATCTGACTTGGCCGGGGTTAGAGGAAGGGCCTCTCATTCTCATGGGATGGTGGTAGTTGTGTGTGTGTGTGTGTAGGATAAAAGGTTCAAAGCACTGAGAGGACTGATTGTGTAATCTTCTTTGCAGCTTTAGCCAAAAATATATTTAAAAAGCAATGAAGGGCAAGAAGTATCAGCAAGCAGCTTTTTATTTACTATATGCTGATGTCTTATCTTCAGTCTTGGTGAAAAGATGAGACTGAGGTTTCAATAATTGAGTTACAACAAACCATTGTCTTTGAATAATTTATTAATAAAAGAAAATGACAGAGAAGTACTACATGCGTAAATCAGCTGGACCAGAGGTTCCTAGGACAGTAACTAACGTCCGGCCCAGAGCAAAGGGATGCATAATCTTTTAGACAGTCAAGTTGCTATGTTCAGGGAACAAGAGATCCTCTCCCTGCCTTGATTGTTCAGCCAAGGCAGGGAGAGGAACAGAGAGAAAGCTAAACAATAAAACAATGTGTCAGCTTTGACCTACACCCTACACATGTGGACTAATATAATGAGTAAAATAAGAGAACACGTTAAGGATAAAACCGTGGATATATTTAAGAGATAACAATAATAGTAATACCATTAATTCATCTTTGAAGGATAGCATCACATTTTTTCAAGTCTGTCTTTTTAAACCAATACTCAAATGTCCATATATACATTGAAACAGTTTTTGGTTGCTGTAATTGTCCCTCTTCCTCCTGCTGGCCATGAAATTATCCTGTCCCAACGCGAATCCAATGTACGCCTCATTTTAACTTCAGCTGAACTTTGGAAGTAATTTTCACACAGTAGGCCTACAAGGATTGTCTTATTTTGAAATTGCTTCAGGAACAGATCTCTTCAAGGCCAGCATGGAGAGCAGGAACCAAAAGCTGTTTCAGTGTAAATAATGAGATGTGGGTAGTGTATAAAGTTAGACTTAAAGAAATTTGAACCTGTCCTTTAATTATCAGTCTTGATAAAAACTACCAGTGGGGACCACAGCGGAGTAGACAACTGCACTTACTTATTTAATGCATTAGCATTAGCCATGCAGATAATTAAGGTTGTATTTGCCCCAAACCTGCGCGAATATCTGCCATTTGTCATTTCTTCTTCTACCTCCCACAAAGGAGGTGAATGGAATTTTGTTTATTGTGCTCAAACCAAATTTACCAAAATTTAGCAGCTACTTTCTACCTAAGAAATAATCTCTATGAAAATAAGGTCTGTGGATTTTCTCAGATGCTGTTTCTGCTTGCTGCTGAATTTTTTATTGAGCACCACAGGCAAAATTACATTCACCCCCATTATATTGGGGTGGAGGCAGAAATCTCAAGAGACAGATATCTCAAATCCTGGGGAATTAAACCAAACCTATCTGCATGATTAGATACAGGACATACTGGAGGTATGTGAGAAAATATGTGTTTTTTAGAATTTGAATGTATTGACCCTTTTAAATGAGGTCCCAAACCCTCAACACATCTGACAAAGTAGATCCTCTATTCAGCTTTAGGTGCCAAAATAAATCCATGAAAAAAACAGACTGATACTTCCTTAAAGGCCTTAAAACAAAATATTTGTATAAATGCACCATTAAGTTCCATTAAACCTCAGTCAGATCAGATGGCTAATAATGCAGATGAGATGAGACATCAAACCCTTCCAACAGAACCACGGCCATTATAATAAATCTCTAATGAGAACAAACCATTAAGACTGTGTGTGTGTGTGTGTGTGTGTGTGTGTGTGTGTGTGTGTGTGTGTGTGTGTGTGATTAATGTGTGGGAGAGGAGGTAGAGGGGGTTTGGTCTGCTATGTGGGATCATAGCACACAGGGAGGAGAGTAGGAGGGAGCACAGGGACTGGAGGGAGAGAAAGAGCCTGAAGAAAGGGAGCGGAGAAGACAGACGACAGGAGGCGAAGGCTGACACACAATCAAAACCCCACAAGAAAAATGCCCAATTTTGAAGGCACCTGGAAAATGAAAAGCAGCGAGAATTTCGAAGAGTTGCTCAAAGCTCTTGGTGAGGACAATTTACTCTTTTTTTTCTATGAAGGTGTGAATGTGTTTTAGTGAGAGAGGTATTATAAATGAAAATCCATTGACTGAAATGAATAGAGGTCTATTATCTGCGCTGTAGACAATTGTATCTGGAATAAAGACTGCAATCAAGGTTTATTTTGAAATGCATGCAGCGTGGACTGGTGAATAGTGTTTTTGATTTTCAAATGTAAAAAACTGCATGAAATGCATCCAAATTGGAGACTATACATAGATTGCAGACAACAGACAACATTTTCTTTTCCACCACATTTCCACCAATCCAATACCTCAAATGCATTAGCGCCATAATATCACAGGTTTTTGCTACAATTTTAATTGTATTTCATATGGACATATAGTTCCAGGAGACACATTTAAAGCAGAAGCTGCTTGATCCAAAGTGGAGTACAACTGGTTTTAATTACATACTCATGCATTGTTGCTGTGTTTGAGTGATGGACTACAAGGAGGATGGATGGGAAACAGACTGTAGCAATCTCTCATCTAATTGTTTTCACTGTAACTGCCCGACAGAGAGGGTTAATAGCTTTTTCCACTCATTTGGAGGACAGACTGATCTACAAGAGAGCTAAACAAAGCAAACGGCACCAGCATTCCTCCCTCTCATCACCTTGTCACTGCACCCTCCATATTTGCAACATCTGCTGATAACAATCTCAGTTACAACTGCTGGAGGATAATTTTTTTAATGAAAACCATCTGCTTTATACTGTAACATCTCCTCCTGACAACTAAAAAGTGATTTATTTTCACTGCGGCATGACTGTGTGAGATAGATACTTATACATTTATGCATTCTTAGGATAAATAAATTTCACTTCTGAAACGGGTTTTTGTTTCAAACCACCACTCTTTGGTGTCAGAGGCAGACAGAAAAAATGTAAGGTGACGCAACTCACCGTCAGATAATAAGATATGAAGAAAGTAAGTATTATACTTCATGGCAATAGGTTGGAACAAAGTGGTTTTGTACATCAGATTATTGTGAATTTTGACTCATCAGCCCGACTTAATATTCATACCGTGGGCTCACAGGCAGCTTTGTATGTGTTTTCAGGTGTGAATGCCATGCTGAGGAAGGTAGCAGTGGCGGCTGCGTCCAAGCCCCACGTGGAGATAAAGCAAAATGGCGAGCAGTTCTACATCAAGACTTCTACCACTGTCCGCACCACGGAGATCAACTTCCTCATTGGAGAGGAGTTTAATGAAGAGACAGTGGATGGGAGAAAGTGTAAGGTAATTTATTTAAACACCACATGATGTGCACAAGAAAAAACAGATTTTTTTTCTTTTAATCAATTCATAAACTGCCCATTCATCAAAATTTAACAATGAATAGTCAAAATTCAAACCCCAATCCTACATTTCCCATAATGCAGCTCAATAGTGTCTTTCCTAGTGTCTCTGTAAATGCACGTGAGGGTCTCTGGTGACATCATCTGGGTTATTTTCCAGACTGGAAAGTTCCTCCAGGGCACAGATGACACTATATAACACAGCCAATGTAGTACCTCTTGTGAAGAGTAAACTTCATGTGTAAAATTACTGAAGTGGCCCTTTAAGTCTTATATTTTACTTAAATTAAGGGAAAACAGTTGCAATGAAGTAGGTAAAAATGCACTCAAAAATCTAGAAATTGTAGTTTTTCAATACTAAAAATATGTTAAAAAAAACTCCTACGCAGAGGGACGGGACAAAGAGATAACCACACCATCCCAACTGATCTATCACTTAGCTTTAGTGCTGACATCCTGTTAGGCAGGTGAAACTGAAGGGATAAATATAGGAAACCTCATTAAAGTGCTGCTTTTCTACAGAGTTTGGCCACTTGGGAGGCAGAAAACAAGATTTACTGCAAACAGACTCTACTGAGTGGGAACGGCCCGAAGACCTTCTGGAGCCGGGAACTCAAAGGGGATGAACTCATACTGGTGAGTCGTTTTTGAAGTTTAATATGGTGATGGATCAGAAAGACTGTAGTCTTAAATGACTGAAGATCAGATTGTACCCAGAGATAATCTCAAGTCTGTCACCTCCGGACCTGCATGTGTCTCTTCAGGCTCTTCCCATTTGTTTCTCTTTTATAAAATTGTGGTTCCCAAATGTTCTCGTCCCATCACCCTGAAGAAGGATATCTACACAGTGATTCCCCTTTTCATCTAAAATCACTCAGCAGATGAACAGATGTTTTGCAAAGTGGGATGAGGTGTCAAATTTGGAGGTCACTGCCTTTAACCTCATGGGTCCATTTTCTTCATTAATTTTTTTCTACTTCTTTTTCTGCGAATAAGAAAATAAAGGATTGGCTAAAGGCACATTCCTCGATTTGTGTCAAAAGCAAAAGTGTGGTGTAGCCTGCCGTTAATGCCACTCTCATATCTCTAGCCTACCGTAAATATGAAACTACAGCCAGCAGCCAGTTAGCTTAGCATAAAGACTAGAAACAGGGAAACAGCCAGCCTGGCTCTGTGCAAAGGTAACAAAATCAACCTACCTGCACCTCCAAGTCATTCTTTTCAAGCAAATGTAGCAACAATTCTTGAATATTTTGGGTTGTTGATCAACTAAAGAAGACATTAGCTTGGACTTTGGGGACCTGTAATGTGCAGACCCACCCCATTTGCAGTCACAATATAAACCAAAAGATAAACTGATAAATCCATAGTTAGTTGCAGCCCTAGGTTTTACACTTATGTTACATTTATGTATGTGTTACACAGCAAAATATATAGCTTCATATTAACCATACAGACTCTAAACCGTACAGAAATTAGCAGAATTATGCCAGAGGCAGAAACCAAAACTAGACAGATGGTCAAGAGAGGCCAAAACTGGGTGGTGACACCAAATGCGAAAATGTTAAGATGATCTGATCAAGATTTCTCCAAATAATACGTAGTTCCTATGAAATGTTCTGAACTCACATGACCATTTGGGGATACCATCCATTTTCCATGTTTCCTTCTTTTGCCAAATGAGGGTGTGGATTCCTGTAAGAGTAAGACAGCAAATTATCATGATTCATTGTTTTTTATTTATTATTTTTTCACATGGAGGGGGGGTGAAAGATATCCATAGAAAATGGATAAAAAGTTTTTCCATAAAGGTTTTTCTTGGTCATTTGATTTCATTATTGGGTGCATGATCTACATTAATATAAAAATGACACAAAAGCCTGAAAGCAAGTGACCCTGTACACAAGATAAACGGTTGACGATGAGAGTGAGTGAATGAGTTATTTGTTACAGTTTGCAGCAGCACCTATTCAGGGAAACTTAATCTAGATGTCAAAGGACTGAATTAACATTTCACTCCCATACGTTTGTTGTTAGACAGCACTTCATGATCTTGCATCCATCAGAAACACTTCTGCCTCCAGTTCCTGGCAGTTCCAACATCACTAAATCAAAGCATTTTTCTTGTAAACATCTGCTCAGATTTATTGGCCAGATGTACAACAAAGCTGTGTCCAGTTTGGCTGTGATGGAGATCTCCTCTTTACTGACTGTGACTCACCTCTTCAGAGAGGCAATCAAGAATAAATTTGATAGGGGCTGTAATTTGGACTGAAAGCAGGTTTCGAACTGGGAACAAAGCTTTGAACAGCACCAAATCTGTTTTTATTCAAGTTAAGGGTGTGTGCGTCTGTCCATGTTGGAGTGACAAGCTGTAACCTGATAGGCATGTGGGGTTGAATCATTGGAAAATATAACGTGACTTTTCAAGTTTTAATGGGATACCAGAGGAAGATGTCAGATACATTCCAGGCTGTTCTGTAATTTAAAAATAACTCCCTCGTATTACATCTCATTTAATGTATTGTTTAGATTTCAGATTTGATGCAGAGATATTTGGCCCTGTGAAGCAGACTGTGACATATTTTACCAAAATCCTGGAGCCTGAGGTCACTAGCTGTACACATCACCTTTAAAAACATTATGTTGAAGAGAAATTTACATAATGAACAAAGGCATCTAGTTATATATATATTATGGCCCAGAAAAACAAAGTTCTTGATGACAGTGTGAACATACACAAATTTGTAAAGTTACAGTACTGTGAAATCTTCAGAAAAAGATAACGGCCCATACTATGGTCTATGTAGTTTACTTTGTAGAAAAATACAGCACAAATGGCACCAAAGTCAAGGTAATCACCACAAAAACAGCTTTTTAAAAAGTTAACAAAGGGAACCTCTGGTATATAACAATACTATGAAGAATATTCTAAATACTAATAACAATGTAACATACCATTTTGGAAGTCTCAAAACACACAAAGCGTGAATAAAGTGAATAAAACATTTTCACACCCCCAGTTAGAAGTAGTGTATTGATGTATGTGCTGCAGTGTGGGACAATAGTATCTTTCATAGAAGAAGAGTTAAGGATGATTGTTGTTTGCCAATTGATTCATATTCACTTGTCATTTTTTCAGTGTGAGCACACAACATAGAATTATGAAATAGTACGTAACTGTGACATAGCTCAGGTCGGATATTGCATTGAATATGCGTAAACTCGTCTAACTGGAATGAGTTTAGTCAGGGAGAAATTTATGAAGAATATAGCAGCCAATAGCTTTGTAAACCTGGGACAAGGTGTAAATCCTCCTGGTAGCACCAGTTTCGTATTGTGCTGCTATTAAACACTGCTCGTTTATCTACACATATTTCACTAACCTGAGTTCATTCTCCTCTCTGCTCACAGAGGAATGTGAAAAAATGCACATTAACTTGAATAAAAGCATTGGTCAGCAGATGAGGAAATTAGGCTCTCAGGAAGAGATGGATGGACGTAGAGCTTAATGAAGACAACATGCGGTGGACAATGACGACCATTTGGAGAGTCTACAGTGAAAAGGAGAAGATGATAAATGCTTTAGAATACACTCAAGGGACCTCATATACTTCCTTCACATATCAAGCCAATAAATATTGATTTTTAGAGATTAATGCAGTTGTGCCTCGGCTACTTTATAATGGAACTGGAGCCAGATGAAATTTTGTGGATGTGATGACGCTGGGGGTCCAAATCTGTGCATCCTCCTGTGGGTTTTAATTGGTCTCATTGATCATGCTGTTGAAAAATGCCAATGGTGTTGCCTCCAGTTAATGTCTCCCTCGGCATCGGCCCATGTGCCAGATGGAGTCGTCTCAGCTCCATTTTTCACAGCACAGGTCTGTTTCCCCGTCCCGCTACACTGCATGGCCTGAGATAATGATAATGTGTGGTGCTGCAGTTGGCCACAATGCTATGCCCCTGGGACTCCCATAAATCTTTGGACACAGACACACCCACCCCTCACCCCGGGCATCCAATGCTTTTTTTCCATTTTCATATCAGATTTTGTCACATCAGTATCTTTAGCAGGCAGCTGTGTCAAATTAAGATGATATTGATATAAGCAAGCATTAATGGTGGAAGTGCAACAGAGCAGCAGAAAATATAAGGACTAGTATTATTATTAGAAGAAATGTAGGAATACAATACATGGGGCTGACAGAAAAATCTAAAAAGTTAATACTTCAGAATAAGCTGTATTGGCCAAGTATGTGTACAAAGAAATTTGACTCCAGTTTTAAGTTGTTCTCAGTGTACTTACACACAGATAAATTTACAGTAAGATATCATTGGAGTGTATTATTCCAGCCCTATCGTAGCTGTAGAACATGTAGTGTTACGACCCCCTGTTGGTCTAGGGGAGTGGGGGCCATAAACATATAGGCAAAACTGATATAGATCTTAAAAAGGTAACTTGTATTGGTAACCCGGAGATGCAGACAGATAACAATAAACAAAAGGAGGGTGGATGAGGGTGCTGCGAAAATAACAAACCAAGTTAAAATAAGGAGGCCTGTAACTATCTATTTAAACAGGGTTAATTCTTGCTACAAAAAGAACACAAAGAGCACAGCACCCACTCCACCTGATGAAAACTAACTCAATATTAAACAAAAATACTAAGTGAATTTCTCCACTACACACAATGTAGAGCTAACAAACAAGGTATGCGAATTGTTCCACTAAACACAATGTACAGCTAACAAGCAAAGTACACAGTCAATACCAGCGGCACACAAGTCAATAGGCAGTGACAAGCTGCCTCAAGCAACAGGTGGACTCTCCTTATGAGCAGGAGGTAATCAATGTGGTGAGCAGCCATTGGTTGAGCGGGAATAGAGGGAACCAATGGGTGGGACTGAAGTCAGCACCCCAGAAACCAGGAAGTAGGCGGATCTTCATTCCACAGGGACACAGCCTACTTGGTAGAGGTGAGACAGAAAAAGGGGAAACACAAAGGTGACAGCGACAGCCGTGACAATAGGCAGAATTACTTCAACTGCAGTTTGTACATACGTTATGGGAACACACAGGGTTTTCCTCCAGTTTTGATGGTGACGTTGTTTTATATGCTTAGTATCTAACCTGAGTCATACGACTGATTTGACTAAAAATTGGATACGTCAGACACCCCGCAGGTGAAGGCAAGATAAAATAGTTAAGTACTAGAGAAGAGTTGTAAGACATGGACTTGCAGCAAATGTCAGATCAGTCTGAACCTTGCTGTGTGTGTCCAACAAGATAATGATGAAGTGATAATCATATTTTCTTTCTCCTTCTCAATCTCATTTCAGATCTTTGGAGCTGATGATGTGGTGTGCACACGGATCTACCTACGAGCATAGCTGAAATCATTCCACCAACAAATAATCTTTCACTGTTTGAAGTGTCAGTGTCCGAAATTTTACAGAAAAATCAACTAATCACATAATCTGTTTTGACATTCAGTGTTTTGCATCTTCATGAAAATCAGTTACAGCTGAATCCGTTTCGTCCACCTTTTTGTATAGAATTGTTCAAGCATTGGCAAATAAAAGATGCAATTATGATTTAATTTGCTTTAGATTTCGGAAAGGTATAAAAGACAAAGGTGACTAAAGCAGCAGTAGTTGTCTGCATGCTAAGTATTGCAGATATCTCCTGATTAAGAACTTGCTGGTTAAAACATCCAGTCAAAGCTTTCAGTGTGCAAACTGCAGACCTTTAAAAATAATAAAAATTGCCCATATCATACAAACACGATGGCAGAAATGAAGAAATAAGTGGTCAACTGAGTTTCTATTTAAAGGATAGTTTAATGCCAAACACCATACTAACACTCATGTACAACATCATATAAGTCAAGAGAAGAGACACATTAAATGGAGGTACAAACAATGTCTTTATGTACAATCAGCTCCGTGGGACCTCCTGTGGTATTTCATATTAAAACACAGTAAATATAAAAATAAAAACCCAAGTTATAAACTGTTCCAAGATTGTCTGTAGCTGGTTATGTTACTGACCATTCAATGGAGTTCACGAAAATGGCAGGCAGTTTCTTTTTATTTTATTTTCCCTCTTTTTCTTCTGCAAGAGTGTTGCCAATCTGCGCTTTCATACTGAATATTTAGTGTGTTTGCATCCATCCTTCTCATGTTATGATCCATATGTAAAAAATTACAAAGATCTGACTGTTAATGTTGCTTACATATTGATTCCCACTGTGAAACACACTTTACAGCATTTAGGGAGATGGGTATCTTCCCATCCAACCTTACCTACATTATCTACAGTGCCAAATCCAGTTTTATTAAACAAACTACAGAGGGGAAAAGGAAATAAAAATCCTAAGTTTACTTTCGTCTTTTAAGGAAATACAACATTCACATTTGTATTTCAGCAAGAAATACAAACTGCTAGCTATGATAGACTGTGACTGAAGGAATTATTGCTTGCTTGTTTTGTTAATCGTTAAAACTGTACACAAGTCACATAGCTGACATTCACGTATAGACCTATCATACGTCAGTCAGTGTTCGTCGTCAACACTGGGCATAAAAAACAAAACTCCTACACTTTTTTTTATAGGTGATACATTGTGAGACCACTGAACCAGTCATACAGATTCTGACGATTTGGTAAAGTCTAAATAGAAGAAAAGGGTGATAGCACTGTTAGACTTCAGTACTTTGAAAAACAGACATATACTTCTGTAAAAAGGAGAAATTGCTGCTCAGTTACATTCAATCATCTTAAAACCACAAGTGACACCGATGCCAAAGATGCACAGAAAGGGTTTGAACGCATATAAAATGGGTAGTTTTTCTACTAAACAAAGACTTTAGGGACAACACATTTAACAGACCACATAGGAAAAAAGGTCTCTAATTAACATCCTTTGGTAAAAAACAGTTATAAGTTTTCATTTTCTTAATAAACTTCTCTGCAACCTCTAGCTAAAGATACTATGTGTTAATGTATGCTACACATCAATGACATCTGATTAAAAAAAAAAAAAAAAAAAAATCTAGATAGATATAAACAACATATTTACACAAAGTGTATGGGCGGTCATAAATTATTGTACTTGATTCACACTGCTGGCATTGTATTGATACCAAGCATCTACCCAGCAGTAGCCAGAGATGTTGAATATATATATGTATATATATAGTGCCTTTTTGCACCTTTACTACCAAAAAGGAAAACATTCACAGGCTATACAAAGTTTACAGCTGGAAGTCTGACAACTCACATTTTAACAGAAGTAACAGGTAGCTGTTCTCACTAAAGAGAAAGCTGAGGTTATTTGTTTGTATTTCCTGTAAAATCATGAAGTGGTTATCAAACACTTTTCATTGTTGAGTTGCTGAGTTTTTTGTTTAAACTGTGAATTGCTCTAAAGAGAAGATGCAGTGGAGTGTATATTAATCTTGTGTAAAAATCTGCATTTATATTCAGATGGGATTACTGAGATGACCGGGTTTTTCCCCCCCAACATAGTGACAAAACTTCTGTTTCACATATGTTGCAGAATTTGCACTAAAAGCTTGTAAGTTAGGACAAAGTTCAGCTTTTTGCAAAAAGTGGAAAATTTACATCCCATTTGAATTGTGGACTAATAACTCCTTAAACTTTTGGCAACTGGATCCAGTAACAGCAGGATGGGAAAATCTACATGAAGCCACTTATATATGAAGTCATCACTGGGTGTTTGTTGTGTGACAACCGTCACTGCCACAGTTTATCTTTCGATACGAGAGTACACTACAGTACTACAGTGTTCTGTACTTCACCCGGTACTTGTTAATATTGAGATAATGGAGGACTTCAGGGCTGCAGGTTGTGGTGCAGGACAACAGGCCTTCATGTTCATCTCCCATCAGCCACTTGCGGCTCTCAGCAGCCATGTCGCTGGTCACGTGCTCTTTGGCCCAGGTGTCCAGCCAGGCCTGAAAGCGTCTGTGCAGGCGTGTGTTGACCCTCTGTTGGGACTGAAGGAGACATTAACCAGAACAACACAGATCAGCTACTGAGACACCAGTTCAAAGTGCAAAAAGAAAGAGTCATCTCGTTGATTCAGGTAGGATAACATCAAGACAAAATGTATCCACCCACTGCAATGTAGAAAGTCCATCCACTATAATGTGTATTTGGTTAATGATGGAAAAAATCTTCAGCACTTCTCCTCATTAGCTGTGTTTCCATCACCGTGTTTTTATGTGCATTTTGAAGTATCACTTTAGAAAAGGTTGATAGAAACAGCAAAAGTGAGTATATTAATGTTAAGTTAGGTGATGTAGCAAGAGAAGAATCAGCTGTTTCCACTGTCCATGTCTTCCTCAAATAGGTCCCACTGTAGCCCCCCTAATGCTTCACTCATTAATATATTGTAACACATGCACAATCAGTGATCAGCTATAGCATAACTAAATGACCACGGACATGCTAATTTGTTTAAACGCTTGATGTGGATGGCTAATGTGCAACACAGGCTCCATCTAATAAAATGCAAGATAATGTTAGATAACATTTACATTTCATTTATTCATTTAGCTGACGCTTTTATCCAAAGCGACTTACAATTGCTATACATGTCAGAGGTCGCACGCCTCTGGAGCAACTAGGGGTTAAGTGTCTTGCTCAGGGACTCGCTAACCTTTATGGGAATTTCTCAACGGGCAGTGCATTAGTGGCCCTTGCCTACGAAAGTCAGAACAAACTTTTAAATTAGCAACTGGGCTGCTAATTTCTTGCCTCCGGCCCCATCCACGCTACTGCGTTTTCGTATTAAAACAGACCTTTTGCTACGTTTGCACCTCCCGTCCAGACAAACAGCGAAAACGAAGACCTAAAACGGAGAAGTTTGGAAACCCTGCAGACCCCGTTTTGCGTTTTGAAACTCCGGAGGGCGTTTTAGTGAAGACGGGTAAAAATGGAGAACTTTAGAAACGATGACGCAGATGCTCATGTTTGGCTCTCTGATTCGGTATCATAAGTCTTGCAAAGCAGAAACACAATGCTACTGACAGAGTTTGATTTGTTTTTTTTAAATATTCTGTACCGTGCAAATAAAACTTAGGCCTGTCTGCCTACACTTCTACTGTGCATGTTGCCGTTTACTTTGCGTCGACTCCCAGTCTGTTTTCCGCCGCCACAGCTGCTTTTAACTCCCGTGTTACATTCAGTAACAGTCCCCGCTCGTTATTGGTCCATGAAAAAATAATAATAATCTGGTCTGATTCTTGGTCTGCATTACTTTATTCTTTCGCCAGATCATCTCTAACTACGGAATAGACCATCTGCTTCATGTTTACACCGCGCATGCCCATTGTACGCGAACGGCCAATAGATGTGCGTTTTCGCTCGTTTTAATGTAGACGGAGAGCTGCAGTTAAAACGCAGCTAAAACACTGGTATGGACAGAGATCGTTTTCGTTTTAATTCTCTCGTTTGTAAACTAAAACGGAGTAGTGTGGATGGAGCCTCAAAGTTGTTCAGAAACTGATTTTGGTGGACTGCTAAGGTGAAATAAGTGAAAGTTTACGTAGCCTACTTCATACAATGGAACCCACTACTTGTGCTCAACCCCCATTGGCTCACAGAACAGGGGCCTCAGGAGGGAGGTCATGCTCAATCCCCATTGGCTTACAAACACTAGGAGCCTAAGGAGGGAGGACTGCAGTTGGACCCTTCTCGTCTTCCTGGATATTTCCATAAGGCGTGAAAACATGGCTGGTTCTTGTTCTCCTTGAGACCGGTGGTTCTTGTTCTCGTTCTCCTCTTTTGAGTTTATTGGTGGTTAGAAAACAACTGGTTTCCAGTTTGCGACCTCTACTTATTCTACTGTTTATTATAGCCATGTGTACCGTAGCCTTGTTTATTCGCTCATTCCCAGTTGATGGAATCGCACCTAATTCACATTATTGTATGAGACGTTTCAAAGGCTTGCTTGACAATTAGATGGAAACACAGCTACTGACTTGAGGCCATCACTCCCCTAGTCACTGAGTACGATGTTTCTGAAAGCACCAAAAGTGATGTGTTTCAGATCACCTACAATCACTACAGTGCATTGTATCACCACAGGATAAATGCAAACAACCAGACATGATGGAAAATCTTCCAACTTTATATTTAAATCCGCTGAACAATGTCTTTGGATGTTTTGACATTATAGTTAATTACTTCTATGAGCATTACCGGGAATTTTGGAATCACTTTACTGATTATGGCAAAAAATAAAAAATAATAATTTTAAATCCTCAAACAAAATCTAATATCTAATAAAATACAATTTAATTGCTGGAGATAAGAACGTTAATTATTCTGGACTGTGCATTTAACAACTACCTGTTCCAGCCTTTTAACCCACTATACCTGAAATTCTTCAAATTACTTACAAATATGTTCTTACACTGCAAGGCAAAACCACATTATATATTACTTGTCCTTACACATCATCCTTACACTACATAATGTTTCTAAATGGTATATGCAATGCTGTGTTTGTTGCAACTGATTCTCTGTCGTAATGAAAACTACAGCATGTTGAGACAGACATTTTTGAAAATTTTTGATTTTTCTGAAATGACTTGCAATCCAGTCCAAGTATTGAACCTATAAAACTATTAAAAATGAACTGGGGTGCTTACCTGATGAGCCCGTGTGAGTGCTGTGTGCCTGTACATATAGTCTTCTGACTTGCAGACATAGACCATCTTGTAGGAGTTGAGCTTGAACATGCACTCCATCTTTAGCTCACTGTTGCCTTCTTGTGACTTGTCCGAGGGAACCTTGCTCATTCGCTCCTGTTGCAGTTGCTCCCATCCTCTCTGGCACTTCCTTATCCATCTCAAATTCCTGAAAGCCAAGACAGATTGAAATCAACCATCAATAATACTGGCTGATCCCAGAGAAATTCTTCTGATTACTCAACACATCAAAAGAGTGCACCACGTTTACAGGGAAAGTTCGCACAAATTTCTAAAAATGTATTAACTCTTATTTTCACTTAGGCATGTTATATATGGCACAATTGTGTGTTTGACAGTATACACTGTGTGATTTTAAAGCCTAGGGGATATGGTCAGGCACGATACACATGACATTAAGCAATTTGAGAGCTGTATAGCCAAATTTGAGAGGACTGTCCCTTTAAACAATTATTTTTAAACCCATGCATTGCAACTCACCGAGTAATAGAATTAGATAGGGAGTCAAATCATTCACGGGAAATGTGGATCTATAAGAGCAGCAGAGGCAGCAGTCGGAACATTTCTGTACAGTGCACTTCCGTTGCACAGCCACATAATTCAAATCTAAATATGCTTGGCAAACAAATATTTATCTATATTGGAAATTGATTCTGATTTTTGTGCAGGTAATAAAAATGCAATTATTCACCCCACCTGAATGAAAGTTTTAAATGTGTACTTACCACTGAGGGTACAGGTGAGCGGGGACTGAAACCATGAAGCATATTTTTGCATTCAGGGCTCCACTTAAAAGACATGACAGTGAGGCCAATTTCAGGTACTGTTAGAAACAAACACTAGAAAATTGCTGCCTGATCGGATACCAATCAAAAATATGAGCTGAGAATATTTTGATGTGCACAAACTTTCACCAACAATGTACAGAGTGTTATGATCATGAGATGAAGACCCAACACAACTGGAAAAGAAACTGCTGGATTTTTTTTTTTTTTTTTTTTTTACTGCCATTGAAGATACTTGTGAAGAAGGGCTTTTTACCTCTTGTGCTGCTGATCTCTCATAGATTTGATGCAACAACAACAAAAAAAGGAGAAGATGTGGGTGAGCCCACTGATAAATCGTAGTCAGGTACCAGATTTATGCAATGGGTTAAATAAGGGAAAACTAGGAGCAAGATTTTTTGTGTGTTTTAAAAATCCATTTGAAATGTTTATGGTAATGGACAGCCATCTCAAAG